GACAGAAATTTGATTCCACTGTTCAATCTTAAACCATTCTGTTAAAACTATTTCTGTCATCAAATCTGATCTACCAGCAAACCGTAAAAAAAATGTTTACACATCTACATCTTAATATTTAATTAGTTTTCACTTTGATCTGGATGCAGAATTATTCTGCAGGTTCCTGAGATAACCCAGACAGAAATAATTTATTTTGGTTGCTGTGCTTATTTTTTCTTCAGATGTTCAACTTGCATGTCCTTCACATAGCACATTCTTATCAATATAAGAAATATTTAAGAACATTCACTCTAACTTGCAAGATCAATCTACATACCCTTTGAAATATATTGCTAGTTCAACCCCCCCAAAAAGGTTAATTTTCTCATTACAATGCAAAAGGGTTTTGCATTTCCTAGGTCTCACACGGAAAGATACAGCGTCATTTATTATGTCATTGAGCCGTGACTGCATGAGCATAGTGCTGTAACATTGCATTTAGAAATAACAGTGGAGGAGCAGCTTCACCAGCTGTCACAGCGGCGGCGCCAAGGCAGGGCCGTGGTTATGACTGCAGCACTGAGATAATATACCTGTCAGTGTAGCTGTGTTGAGTTTTCTGGGATGATTGCTGCAGTACATTGGTTTTTAGCAGTTGTTATGCAGATGACACGCAGGAGTTCAGGTGTATAAGGCTGGCTTGGCTGCTTGAGTGCTGCAGAATTCAAAGTGTTGCGTCAGCTTTCCTCTCCGTTGTACCTGCAGAGTGTTTTTCTCAATTGGCAACGTACGCCCACTTTTTATATGGTTCTCAACTCAATGAGCTGACTTTTATACCAGAAAATCATTTATTAGACTAAAACATATAGCTAATACCTTAAATGAGTAATGATTATTTTTGGTCCTATTAACAGGTAAAGTAAATATCAATTTATTTTATTTAAATGCTTTGCAGTTCAATAAACTGAAAAAAGTCAAACAACAAAGAGAACAACAATATTTAAGACCCTAAGCTGCTAGAATCAAACGTCAAAGAAAAAAAGATGCATCTTAAGCAAAGAGTTGTGAACTATTCCAAAGGTTAAGGACACAAATTTAAAAAGTCTGATCTCTGGAAATCTGAGAGAAACTGGTCAGTTATTTTGCTAGAGTGTGGATGTTCAGATCACAGAGATATAATGGGGTTTAACCTTTTTTTAAACTTTAAGAGTAAGCAATAAAATCTTGAAATCGATCCTAACACAAATAAAAGTCAAAGTAGAGCAGGTATAATCTGAGATTTGTGTTAATGTTTTTCAGTATCTTTTAAAAGATGAGCTGCTGCATTTTGGATGCAAATCTTTTCTGCATATTGGCAATGCAGAGATTTGTCCAGCATACACGGCATTACAATAATCCCACAGTGAGGTAATGACAGATTCGATGACAAAATAGAAATTCCCAAAATTTCCGAAGAACCTGTGTCCAACTAGTACGTTATAATTCCAAAATAGAAACATCTTTAAACAGAAACATACCTAGTGATGCTTTTAGGCATTAAAAATTATGTTTAACGTGCAACCAACCTTCCAAATTGCGATACAGAGCTGAAACTCCCATTATTATTAACTTCAAATATAGATCAGTTGCTAATGTTACCCACTAATTTTCTCTCAAATATGTTTTGCACGTAATAATACATTTCGTAATATGTTTTTTAATTAACAATTTCTTTGGTAACCTAATTGAAAATAATTACCAGTAAATTTGAGTTGTGTTTTTGTCTAAAATGCCCATTTTAGTTTCATTTTCACTTCATAACCATCTTTACTCTCAGGATTTTTCTTTTTTGAGTGTTAAAACTATAAATATTTTAAAAATATGAGTTACTTAATAACCGAGTTGGATATTACACTGAAAGCATTTATTGGAACATAGAAGATTGAAGTTATTTCCTGCACAGAACTGGGGGGTGAAACTAAGTTTAATTAACTCCTAACTCAAGATTAATTAAACTTTTGAAAGAAAACCACAAAAAGGAGAGGGACGCCTGTAAGTTGAAAGCAGTTTCTCATTCGTGGGGTCAGCTCTGAAGGTACAGCTCTCCCTGTTTATTCTGCAGCAGTGTATTAGTGAAGTGGAGCTTACAGTGACAGCTCTACATAATGAAGGCAGGCGGGGGTGTTGACTTGGCTTCAGCCCCGAGGCTTTCATCCACTGCCAGGTCACTGACCATCATGTTAGCCAGAACAAATATTCACACCACAACACTGAGCTGCGTTATGTTAGCTGCATGTTTTTTTTGGGGTTTTTTTTTGCCAGATGTCAAAGCTCCTGCATTGCACTGCTCAGACAAGGGGCTAACTTCACATGGGCTCATAAACTGCTGCAGGGTCAGGTATCAATCTCAGGATGCTACTGGAGCATAACCACGTCTGAACTACGCAAAGAATGGAAAAGCTGGATCTTACCAAGGTCTCATAAAGAAAGGAGAGTTTGACTTGATTTATCATAATCAAAGCTGGGGTTTTTTTGCATCTTGTGTGAAGAATTCAACAGTTTTTCATTCAAGGCTTTGGGAATTTGCAGCGTTAACAATATATTATAGTTAGTAGTCGGTTCCTGCCATTTTTTCGATTATGTGAGCTCTCCAGTCCATTTCAATCCACTGACTTTAGGAGTCACCTGAATGACAAACAGACCTCACATGCTTTTGTCAGCATATAGTCATCTGCTCTTCATGTATTTAGTCTTCTTTCCATTACTTTTCCCTTGTACCTATATGTGATGACTTTTCATACTGAACTGTGCTCGATGCAAACGGCAGATGGTGATGTGTAATTCAGTGAAATGAATGCTTGTTAGACTGATACCGTCACGAGAACCTGCTCAGAACATGTCGATAAAAGATTAATTATGCAAAGATCTGCTGAACCGTCACATGTGAAACGTATGTCGCAGTGGCACATCTTTGAAATTTTCTCCTCCTCTCATACACATAAAATGGAGAGAAGCACATTAATGTAAGTTAAATTGATGCTTTTTAGAGAAAAATATTCACATAGAATTGGACTTCACCTGTATTTTACGTTTATGTAACACTTCTACTTGCCTGTTTGCTGGTGTTGTTTTGAGACGGTCCTTGTATGGCGAAGATAAATCGTTCATTTCAGCCGTTTGTTGCAGCCAGCTCAGGGCAGGACAGCATATGTAAAGCGGTCACTACGCCAATAAGGTGATTATAAATCAGGCTAGTTTGAGTGTTGCCAGCCTAACGTGGGCGAGATTAGGTTGTTAGCCTGAGGCCAGCGTGGCTTCAAGCTAATGCACCCAGGACCCAGACATGCTCCCTCCACATAAAGGAACCACCCACAACCTCACACTGATGTTGTTTTCTTGCTTGGCAACTCAGGCTTTATTTCACATTTTTAAAAGTCTTTCTTGGAGAAAGAAAATCTCTTGTTGTGGGCATAAATTAGGGGACTATAGTGGTTTAGTGTGACAGCTAAGCCTACAATTCAAGTCTCTCGATCAAACACAGCTTACAAAAAATATCAAGCAGTGTCAGAAATCTTCAGGGAAAATTGTGCAGTGTGACAGATTGCACAATTGTCTGATTTTTGTCCTATTTTGCGCAGCCGGCATTGACTAAACCTCTGTCTCCTTTCCACTGTTTTGCCCTCCTCCATTACTGCATTTGATTTTAATAATAAGTGCATTAACAAATGCAACTCTTGGTCAATTTACAGATAAACTGATGCATTTCTGACATCTTTCTATTGTGACTCTGCTGTAGGTTGAAGTGTGAGACAATAGCTACCATTATATCCGCCTCACACAATGCGAAATGTTCAGACCATGTCTGAAACCTCGCTGTTTTTGCAGGGCTAATAGCGCCTCTCAGGGAATCAAACACACTAATTACTATAATAAGAATTGAGATGAAGGCTCATGTAATACCCATAAGCTGAAACTTGGACTCAATTATTTATTTCAACCGGCGGTGTCTCTTCGTCTTTAAAACATCAAAAAATAATATCTGAAGTGTGTCTTACTAATTTTGTCCGTTGTGCTTTGATGCCAGCCTAAATTGAATCTGCTAAGTGTTATTTTGAAACTTTAAAGGCAATGTAATGCTGCCCAGACCTCACACTGAAACACAGCTTTGAAGTGCTTTGAGGATTAAACTCGATTTCTGCACAGTGTTGGCGGGTGTCAGGTTAGTTTAAACCAATTGAGAGTGAAAACTAAAAGCTTTAAAAAAAGAATGCTAACCTTGATGATTTGGGTTAAATGCCAGCTCTTACTATTTGTATAATGTGGTGAACTTGGATGTGCACGCCTCACAAACATGTTAGTTGAGAGCCGTCTTATAACAGATGGAGGCTAAACTACATGAATGAGCTATTCTAGGTTAAATCTGTCAGTAAATATGTATGATTGTGGTGTTTATCCCCTTCATAAGGTGCATCTGTTAGTCTGATTTTTAACAATAAATACATAGCATATGCTTATGTGGACTCCATTTAAAAAGGTCAAACCTTCTTCCATTAAAAGCTGGAATCTATGCGAAAGCTACACTTCACAAAGGTTTGCTGCTTCTGCTTTAATGATGTGGAAAAATTTGCTGTAGCTTAGTTATAGAACTCAACCTGCTTCAAGTTTTGTCTGCTGGTGCTTGTTGTCCGACTTGTAGCTACATTTATACTGCCTCTAGTGGCGTGGGGATGGTAACACAACTAATATAATTACATTACTAAATCAGAATACCAAAAAGTCTTTATTATTTAGTTTAAAATTTTCATTCTCTTAAGAATGTAGAGCTAATTAAATGATTTTAAAAATACCTTAAAGTGGTTCCAGTTTCTCTCAATGGCCAACCTGTTGGAACTGTGGAAAATTTGGGTCGTTCCTGGACAGTCGGCTCAACTTTACTGAAAATATTGACTATATTTTGAAGAACTCTTCTCAGAGACTCTACCTTTTAAGAAGACTTGGTGATCATGGAGTGACCCAACTAGACTCTAGACTCTAGTTGGGTCACCCCTATGTCTTAAAAGTTTTGGGGGAAAAAAAATCATATTTTATTTATCACTACAGAAGGGTTCAGTGAATGTGCATATGGAACTGGTGGGTTCGATAGCACAAAAAATGTTAAGAACCACTGGTCTAGAGTCCTCTGCAAAAATGTTTTCAGTTCGTCTCTCCACCATGGATGTAGAGTAGATGAACCAGTTTCTGCACAGTACAAGGAAAACATTTGGCTGTGGCAGAATAGCTTCACAATGTGTTCAGAATAAATTATTTGGAAGTAAACTTCAAAGGACAGTAATTGATGTGCTTTTAGACCAACCTACTTTATTTCTGAGCTTCAACATTTAACATGCGCTGTCCCTGGAGCCGCTGCCAGTTGTGATTGGTTGAGCACAAGTGGGTCTAATTATTCCTAATCTCACCTCAAACAGAAGTAATTTTACTGGCATTTTACATGTAAGTTTTTTTTTTTCACTTTTCAAAAGATCCTTTGAAATCTCACATGTATTCTTTTAACTTTATCTGCAATAAGGTTTCTCTTTCAATGATGGCTCCTTTCATTCCTTTGTGATAGACCAGAGAGCTAATAGACAACTACATTCCTGCCACAACAACATTATCGGTTTTACTTCTGTAAATCTTTTGCTGTTGCTAAAGTTTACCTCCTATAAAAATAAAGGAAAACTCCTGGGGCTTTAGTGACAACACTGACTGTGGATTGTCTTCAGATTCAACTCAGGAAACCTTTAGTAATCATGGTTGCGCTTCCTTCTTTTTCTTATTTTGCTTGGCCCAAATTCTGTCTCCTTACTCACCTATAAGTTTATTCATTTTGTCTTTGACACAGTCTTGGTGAAGTTGGTTAAATGTCCAGAGTTATTCATTTATTTTTTGTTGTGACCCCCCTGAAAAGTTGTGGCTCCCCATGGGGTGACTTTGGTCTCTTTTTGACACAGACTGCTCTCTTTTTCTTCTTTTTCCAGCTTTCATAGCTCAGTGCACACACCCGCGCAGGGCCGGGTCGGGGTCCTGCCTGTAGACGCTTAAGCATCTTCAGATTTATGGATCTGAGTCCAGTTTTTAAATCTGCTCCCACTATTTAAAACAGCAACAACTCCAGTGTATTTTTAAGATTCTAATTTAGAAATGACAACAGTTTTCCAAGTTTGTTTCAGAGTTATACAGGTTATCAGTTGGATTAAAAACGTCATTTTTTGGTGTTTGGCTGTGAGAAGTGCCGCCTTTGTGGACTGTGCCAAATTTTGTTGTTTTTATTTTCCATTAAGTTACTTTTATTTTGCTACTTTCTTTTAAAAGCTCAACCAAAAATATGTGCACCACGATGTTGTCCTTAAGTAACTGATTCTGAAAATAAAAATGAATATTAAACAGAAATCAAACTATAACAGCTCAAAAATTATGCACAAATTCTCTCTTCACTGGAAAGCTCTGAAATTTCTATGAATAATTAAAAGCTTTTAATGCTTTTAAACACTTCTGAAATCTCTGTCTGTATTCAGAGTGAAGCTTTAAAATCAGATTTTCTTTGAAAACTGCATTGGACGATGAAGCACGTTATCTGCTTTCAGATCAAAGAACAAATAAAGCTTGGGTTCAGACCTCCAAAGTTTCGCTTGTCTGATAGAAATAAGAATAATCCTGAGCTTTGAGAGGCCGTCTTTCAGTTGGATTAGAGCAGCAGATTTACAACAGCCTGTAATCTAGGCTTATTCGTATTTTGTAAATGTCGAAGGTTTTGTGGGTGGTATTTGAATTATTTTTATTTTTTTCCAACAAACCTTTATATTGTTTGTCTCACTTCAGTTTTATAAATGACTGTGTAGCATCTGGAGTTTTCTGTTTTCATGCACAGATTTGATTTTTTAAAAATAAATACAGCATGGACTAAATCATCCTGATCGTAAAGTTTACAAATGTACTTTAATTTCACAGTGAATGCGTTGTTTTTGCCTCAGTTGGTGAGCGTTTTAGTCGGGTCTGTTACAGTAAATTCATAGTGTGAACCGTGAAGCATGGCGGTGGGTGTGTGATAAATCATTCATGTGTAAAATATATTCAAACATTGGTGTATTTATACGACAGATTAAAAAAAAAAAAAAAGAAAGCTCATGAAAGCAGCAGTTTGGAAAGTTCTACCTTGTTAATTATTCATATGATTTTAATCCAATGAAATACCCAGAATATAGATGTGATCCCAATTCCTCCAGTGCTGGAAGTTTTCTGAACTTTGTTTAAACTTTATTTACAGCCATGACCTCAAAAATCTGAATTATTTTCACTAAACACCAATGAGTAATCTTTAGCAGAAAGAAATTGTCTTGTTTGAATGTTTTGGTGATCATCTTAGTTTATGGTTAAGACCAGAAGTTAATACATGTAGTATTTATTTATTCATCTTTCTCTGCAAACATAGATTAATCTTCTACTCAAATGCTTTGAAAGAATTAAATATCTTTTGAAGTCCTTTCATGCTTGAGTTGGATGTCTTTTGTTTTTGGCATTAATTGATTAGGACTGTGTGAGCTGCGGGTCGGCCTGGCTGCCTGTATCTCGCCCTTGTCTCTTCTAAGCAGATTGTAAGTCAACGGGAGGCTGCTGATTTACTGCTGACAGGTTTTTTGCTGATGCTGATCTGCTGCCTGGTGCTGCATAATGAGAATATGTGAAAATTGAAAAAGTCTTATAAGGAAATATGCTTCGCAAGTCACAGTGCATCATGGTTTTGCATAGAGACGGTACTTTGCTTTCGTTCTCATGAAGCATCACGTCCTCTGCTGACTTTGGTTTAAGTTTTGGATTAAAACTGAATCAGTGTCATTTGTTGAAGGGGGAAATTAAAACTGATGTCTCTATTAGTTGGCTTAAAAAATGACCCTGGTGCTACTTTACGGTTTTTCATGAACTTTGTCAACATTTTAGCAACTTTAAGCAGGCTGAGGTGCAGATTTGCTCCAGCACTCAACAGCCCTTCAAGTTCTTATGCTGTAAAAGTTCAACAAAATATTAAAATCACATCTTATTAAAGGTTAACTGATAAGTTTTCCTTTTTATGTTTTATAAAGAGATATCAAGCGACACTTTTTATGTTATGTCGTGAAATCTAAAATGATCATTGAGTCTCACAGTTAAAATCTTGAAAACGTTTCATCTTTAGAAGCTTTGACATTACTAACAAGTATCGTCATGTTTGAATCTTTCTTTGTCATGTTGTGTAAATTATATTAATTTGTGCTGCTCTTTAATCCAATCCAGACAGAGAAGATACACATGCTATGTTTATACACACACGCACACCTACATGAGCTTTTCTGTGTGTAGGTACCTGCATGTACACTACACTGAATTCAGCTGTGATAAATGAAGCTCATAGTTTGAGCAGGAAGGGGAATATATTTCAATTCCTGAAAGGTTTTGATAAATAAGTTAACTGAGGTTTGTACCAATTACTTCTATCTGATGTTATCCTTATGGATTATATAGACGAATTATGAGCTAAAACTGTCCACCGTTGTTCTCTGTGATCTATTTATGTGACTGAGAATCTGGTATCTTGCAAGGACAAGTAAAGAAAAAACATAGATCAGAAATTGTTAGCCACATATAATTATCTTAGCCACTAGATTAATACAATTACCTTACACTGTTACTGCTGCTGCACAAATTTAAAGTAAAATAAAATGGTAAAATTGAATGACATTAAAGCTAACTTAAAAAAAATCTTCATATTGTGACAGTACAGTACGAGACAAATCTGTGAAAAAAATCAAGAAATCAGGAAAAATAAACAGTGTTGACCTATACAATCATCAATTAACCACTTTGATTTTTCTATATCTGTATCGGGACTAGATTAAAACCCGTATGGCTTGACCAATTATTTTTGCTTCTACATCAGATGGAAATATTTTCCAAAGAGTCAGTTCTTAGATGATTTTTTTTTTTTCAAATCTCTCCATTATGTAAATAAACTGATCTACTCACCACTAAGTGTAGTTCACCCAGTTCAGAGGAAAGATTTACTATTTACGGATTTACAGCATTAAAGGCAAAGTTACATCACCTTTATCTGTGAGAAAAGTTAAATGTGCTCCAGGGTAATTAATCCAGCTCTCTAAGCACTCTGAAGTAATTACGGCTCATTTTCCCAGCAGAAAATCTGCACTTCAGCTTTAAGGCTGAGAAGCTCTAGCTGCAGGATTGACTTTAATGTGTGGGATGTTTACTCCAAACTGTGCAAAGATATTGCATTTTTTTTTTTTTTTGTGGAGCATGATCAATGTAAAGCAAATACTTGTCTGTACATTTGTATTAACCTTTAGTCAGATGGCGGAAACTACAGAGTTCTAAGAAACATACTCCATCTTACATAAACTATTTTAAAACTTGTCTTAAGCCAAAGAAGAAAGAACATGGTCTTGTTTAGGTTATTATTACAATGAATGAAATTATTCCCAGATGCCAGAGCAAGAATTAACTGTTGGATAAAGTACAAGGAAAGCATGTTTGCGTCCTCTCAACTCTAGAGTGTGAGAGAAAAAAGGTTTACAATTACCTACTGACTGATAGCATCAAACCAGCCGTTTACTTCACTGAAATCGACTTTTTCCAGGCTTAGACAGTAACAGATAGCTCCTACTTAATCAGTTCCCAAAGCTGTCTAATCTAGAGCTGTTTCAGGTCGAAATCGTGGTATTTGCTGGAAATAAGATCTGAATTAAACTGCTCGTACCGCTGTCGTCTTCTTAAATAAATGAAACGCTGGTTGCCTCAGGAAGCAGCTGGTTTTCTTCTACATAAGTGAAACATACGTATGCATGTGATTTTTGGGTTGCTACCAATGTACTGCTTAACAGCAGCCGTATTACACCCCAATAATAAATTTACACATGCTGGCAAAGACAAGCAAGCACCAAGTTAAGCTCTCAGAATCAATGGGCCAATTTAGGTGGTATTTGGTAAACACTCAGAGCAGCAGCAGTTTGGTAAATGATGCTATTTGCAAAAAGCTGGTTAAACTAGAACAGGAAGCATACCACAGGTTTTGGCCATATGTCTTTGATTACATTGACTGATTGTTTGCCATAGATGGCAGCCACTGCTGGTGAGGATGTTGATAGTGCAAATGTTCATAATTCATTCCTAACTCAATGTGTTTGCTGTGTGTTAGACGCTCCAGCAGTCGTCTATAACTCTTTTCCTTACTTATGAAGTCAGCAAACTAAGCTTCATGCACTTCATATTTAATCCCAATCACTTGTCCTCGTTTTGTGAGCTGAACTTGGTTCTTAACTTTTAATAAAAATCAGTCAAGGTTGGATAACAAAACTGAACTCTTACGAAGACATTGATATTCTATGTTTGGAGAAAGTTTTGGAAAAAAGTTAAGCATTGCATGTTATATGATTTAAATCCTTTTTGAAAAAACTATCATATGAATCATTCAGTGTCTTTGGAGTACAATAAAATATTTCTCTTATTACAGAAATAATGTATCCAGATTTTCTTCAGTTGTATATGCAGGTGTTATTAAATATTAATGATCACTTTAAATTATTTAGAATGCTGCAGTTGTTTAACTGTAATTCTTGTGTTTCCAAGGTAAGGTAGGATCAGGGTAAATTCATTTTTTTCTACTCTTAAGTCATACCAGTGTATTGTTTTTTTTTTTTCTGAAATGAATGTAGGAGTAAATGGGAAGGTTAAGTCACTCTATCAAGGAAACTAGGCTGATACCTTCATGTGTTCAAGGTCCGTGGGCCAAATATTTCCAAATTAGCACCACAAACACTTCGATTTTTGTTACAAGAAAATCACAAAAAGTTTCACAAAATCCTGGAGGGGCTGAAAAGATATTAAATATGATATAATTTTAAGAATTAATTGGTATTTTAACAGTTTCTGAACAGGTTTTATCTATACATTCTGGCACAACCGGCCATTTAAGAGCTTTCAGGATGTTGATTTGGCCCAAAACAAAAATGAGTTGAAGGAGTGTTGACCGCAGCAGTGTGGTCAGTCATACGAAATGTTTCCCTGCACTCGTGGTAAAGGTAAAAGGTAAAGGTAATTTTATTTATATAGCACATTTTCAGCAACAAGGCAATACAAACAAAATGAGCAAAAAAGAGAGTCTAATGTAGATCCGTTTTTTGTTTGTTTTTTTTGCCTTCTACCATATTAGTAAAAAAAACTATTACTACCTCAGTGCCAGGCCTCTGGACATTTCTCTGCTGCCATTGAAGGGAGAGTTTTAGTCTTTATTGCTTGAAAGAAGGCAGAGACTGACTGAGTGAGTGAGTGGAAACTGCTGCAGCTGCTTACCCTTGTTTGAAAGTCAGATAAACTCTGACGTTTCAACCATCAGAAGAAAAAACAAAAAAGCGATTTCCATCATAGGCTGCTTTGAATGCATGTGATGTTTGTTCACGCAAACATCTTAGAAGTTGCAATGATTGTTGCGTAGCCAATTTCAAGGAGCATGTGTGGCATTTTATAGGATGCATTTGTGGAGACGTTGTTATTTCAGGTGAGTCCTCTGTGAAAACAAAAAGCAGCTGGGTTTCATTTGGATTTTTGAAGATTTTTTTCCCTCTTTTATCCAAGAAACTTCTTGAGCTCTAACATGTAGGAAGTTTCAAGGCATGTAACCTCATGTGGGGTCATTAGTCAGTAGTTTGTAGAAGCCTTATCAGCAGGGTGGAGATTTTTCTCCTTTGAGGCAAAGAGAAAAGAAGAGGAAAGCACACACAGTAAAATGGCCTTTTAAGCAGGAGATGCGTCCTGCTTTGAAGGGCTGCTTTCTCTGTTCATTTCTGCTCATCTCAAACCCGCAGGAGGAGGATTTTCAGGCCATCTAATTAGAGAGCGAGTTGTGATGGATTAGCTTGTGTTGCATGCACATGTAGAATAAGAAACGGTTGCACAATCACTAATTTGTGACTAACTTAATATAACAATCAAACTCAGTTGATTAAACCTGCCATTGTTCCCAGACTCCCAGCAAGCTTTGCTGTTTTGCACAGTCGTCTGGACATTTTCCACTTTCTGAAACTGCTTCCTAGGTTATAAAATGATTTGAAAACTAAATAACACACAGTCAATTAATCTTTTTTCTTTACTTGACAAATTCTGAATGCTTTCCAATCCATCATCCCCTGTTTTCCTTTCACTCTTATCAGTTTCCTTCACTTTTTGCATTTTCCTTCTGTGACATATATACTTTTTAAATTGATCTTTTGAGAGAAATGTTGTTACATTTAGGGAGCCATATCAATAGAAGTTATTATTTGCATTTTATCAGCTGCTTTGCTGCTGAAGTGCTGTCAGAAGGAATTTCCTGTCTCTTCAGATTTCACACAGCTCTCATCAAACACAATTTACAAATTCAACATTACTCCTGTCAGGCTCACTTCTCTCAGCTGCTCCCCGTCCTCAAATGAGCTTTAATGCAAACTATGCTGATCATTGTAGAAGTTAATTGAGTTTGACTGTGACAGTTTACTGCCTGATGAATGTGCGGCATTGTCCCCCACCTCCCTTCACTGACTGCTTACTGTTTCACTTTGGTCTGTAATTAAAAATGAAGACATTATTTGGGTTGTGTGTGGAACAGGTTACTATGGAAACAGGTCGCCGGAAATGGAAAGTTGTGAATTTCAGAGTTAGTAGGAGAATTTGAGAGGCTTGGATGCACTTTGGCATTGGAAATTTAAGTACAGATCATTAGATTTATCACATAAAATGATCAAAGTTGCATTGATTGCTATAAAAAAAAAAGTGCTGGGTGCTGAAAGTTTTGCTAAAGTTGTTCACACCAGTGATTTTTTATTTTTTTTTTTGTCTCCACCAACTGAAATAAACTAAATGTACCTGTCAACCATTACACTTGAGTGCCAACTTATTGTGCATTAACAAAATAGCAGAGCTGTCATTTCAGTTTCTACAGGAACCTTTGCAATGCATCCAGTGAGCGAGCAAAGGGATTTCCACAGTGGATGAGAAATTTGTGAAGGAGATTGACACATTTTGTAATATTATGAGAAAAAGCTACCTCAATCATTTTTGTGAATTCAACCTATTACTAAAGCAGAAGCAATCAATCTCTAAGAGGGCTAGGAAAAAGAAAAATACTGTTCCAATAGATGTCATGAATGAGACGTCACTTTCATCAGACATGATGACTTTGATCAGAAGCTTTCAATTACAGCAACAGAACATGCATCTGTCAAAACACGGCGTTTCTAACGTTAAACTGGAACATTTTTATCCAGTGTGCGTGAATGATGCTCTCGTTTGAGTCGGGCTTTATTGCTAATCCAGCAGCGCAGCAGCAACGTCTATTGTCTCAGAGGAACTCTGCAGGAAGTTGAGCGATTCTCAGTCAATAGTACAAATTCTTATCTGTGTTAGATGTATAACTTTGGTTGGGTCCAATACATCAGGTGCAGCTACGGTCATACAAGGACCTGACTTCTTGTTCCTCTTTTGAGTCTAGAATTATTAAAGTCTGAGAGAAATCATAAGAATAATCCGGCACCCTATAACTTCACTATCTTATAGATTACAAGCTGCTGTGTTAGTTATGAATTTCTCACTGTAAACTTTTAAACCAAATATTTTCACTACTCAACACAAACGGCTCCTGTGGATTTTATAGACCTGCCAATATTTGTTTTCCTCCAAAACAAAAAGGCTGAGTAAAAGGATGGATCTCACCCTTCGGAAGTCTGCCCATTATAACCTAATGGGCAGACTTTACTTTTCCTTACTTTGCTCGTTTTTTATGAGCTTTGTGATGACATGTCTCAGTCCTGTTGTTGTGTCTCCTGCTGCTTGCTGCAGGCATTTTGAGCAGCACACTCCACGTACTGTAGGTTTTTAAAAAAAACACTTCTCACTCATGTGAATCAGAGGATGGCATCTGAATTTCTTGATGTTGTGCATAATTATTCTCACTTGTCAAACTGCTTATTTTCTGCTTTTTTGAAATTCCTCAATAATTGCTCTTTCAGGAACAAAAACATGATTTATTTCAACCAGTAAACAAATTAATTTTCTCTTTTGTGCAACAGAAAAAATATGTTTGTCTACAATTACACAAGTAATATAAAATGAAACAAATGCATGTATTTTTTTTTTCATATGATGGTTGTTTTTAGTTATGTGAGGCAGAGGATTTACGTCCTCTGAGGTCTTTGAGTGCCATCAACAGGAAGTAAAAGCAGTCTGACAGAGCGAGGCAGATTGATAGTCAGGGAGGGAAAATTCTCAGCCCTCCTCCCAGAGGCGGCAGTGACCTCCAGGCTTTGTGAATTTTATCTGTCCTTCATATCGGCCACAGTGACAGTCAATAACCTCATAGCTGGCAGGATCGCCTCCCCTGTGTCAACATCCCACTGATCAAACGCACGCAGAATAATCACAGCCGAGCCACAGCAGGGTTAATAAACATTTATTTTCTCTATAAACCTATTCTGACAGTATTCTGCTATAGGTAATGCCACTAATGTCAGAAATAATAGTAACATCTGTCACGTCTCTTCAGATCAGACTAACATGAAAATAAAATGTTGTTGAAGCTTGTTTGATGTGAAACACAGGTCAGCCAACAGTGTGTCACTTAAATATAGTGATGAAGAAAGGATTTGATATCTTCCCCCTGACCTCCATCCAAATGCATAACCAGAAAGCCTGAAATGATCTGCGACTCTTGGACAGTGAAAATATATGTTTTTATTTTTGGACTCCATGCTAACACATATTTTGCTTTTTGTAATTGAATGCACAGCTTCTTTCTGCTGAGAAACTAATGGCACTGCTTTTTTTTTTCCAACAGTCCCACCCACTGACAGCGTTCTGCTGCATAGTGTCATTCACTGAGCTGTTCCTGAACATCTTGACATTAAACAATGTCCTTTTCAATATTTTGACATCCTTGGAGAGGCGCATCAAACTTGTAGCATTTGGAAATTATGCGCTTTGGCTGTATTAACATGCATTGTGAGCTTTGGAAAACAGACAACCTGCAAAAGACTGGCACATAGTAGAATGCAAATGTGCATCACAAACAGGAAAATGCTAATTACCCCATCAAGTCATCTGCCAGCGTTTAACAGCTCGATTTAATAGGTTTTTTTTTCTTTAAAATCTTATAAATGCAGCTAAGACAGTCCATTTTGGATCTGAGCTGTGAATTTATTTCACAGCAATTAAGCGTTAAATTCTTTGTAAAATGGTGATTCTGCCTGTGACATGCATTAGTATTCATCCCTGCTTATTCTAAAGCCCCTAAATAAGGTCTAGTGTAACCAATTGTCTTCAGAAGTCCCAAAACTGATGAGGAGTCGTTGGATCTGTGATTTTATTGTTGTCGATTCTTGGAGGAGGTATTGCTGCAAACTTAATGACTTAATGAAATCAGCTGCTCTTCCTTCTCTGACTAGTTGGCATGATTTAATCAACAGATTTAATGTGATCATTAGGATCATATTGGGCTACATTAATGAAATGTATTGATTAGAAGTGAATTTTTATTGACTTTGGGTTCTATATACGTGCTTTCTTTGTATTTTAAAGTGCCTCAGGATATCTAATGAACTATAAACATCTGATCCTCCAGGTTTAATCTATTTTAACTTGAAGGAGTGAACTTGTGCAACACAAAGTGACAGAGCTGGAATAATCGGCTTGTTTTCTGTTGCTTACAAACAGGAAACACTGATTGTTGGCCTGTAGAAACTAAACTGACTTCCACTAAATAATCTTTGCAACTGCTGTAATATTTTGAAGGCTGTAATTACCTGCTCAGCTGCACTACATTAAGCATCATATTAACATTCATGCAAATGGTTCCAATTAGATGCTGATGGACTCAATACTCTGTGCTGAGCGTATACAACACTGTTTGTGGTTATTTAGCAAATATCCCCAAATGTAAATTTGCTTAATTCCACTCAGTCTCAGCTGATGGACATAATGCATGTTGCTCTGTGCATTAAACATTTCATCAGTGTGTCGCCACAGATCCGTACTGACTGTGGCTGTCCCTTCACTCACATACTAGTCTGCTTCGTGGCCTGAAGTGAGGATTTTTAAATGTATTATTCAGTCAGCCATGATGAGTCATCTCTGAAACTATCAGGGGGCAGCACTATTTTGGTTGGGGAGCATAAATTGGCATCAGTTTCCCACGAATGAAAAGGTGTGCATATTTAGCTGTCAGCTGCTCTGCTCTGCCACAGGAGCTGCTTGTTGTGTCTTTGTAGCTGTCAGAATAATGTCAACTTTGCAGTTTTGGGATCTTCCTTAGCAAAACTCAGCTGTCAAGCCATGCCACGACAATATTTGCTGTTATGAAACACAGTGTTTTTGTTGAGCTTTCTTAATTTGGATCTTTGTGTGAGCTGTTGAATCTTGACGAATATGGAGGTTTTGGGGTTTTTGTTGTTGTTTGACCTTCCTATCATCACAACAGGCATGTTCTAATTGGTACAAATTATTATATTTTCAACAAATTCCAAAACAGGAGGGCAGTTCTTCTGTCTCTCTATTTATTTATCTGCTTACATTTTTACTAGGCTTATATAAAATATTGCAGATGTGTCTTTACCATAATGGTTCTGGATTTGAATCCCATTAGTATTCATTCAGTATGAAGTCCAAACACATGAGTTTCCAGCAGAAAACGTAGCAGTATATTATTGGTCCACACTGGTTTTGTGTTAAAAATGTTAAAAGTTGACAGAAAAACTGCAAAGATGACCAGAAGAAGTTACTGACCATTCTTCTATAGTCTTAAAAAAAGGTAAACACAAATGCATGCTAATTAAAATAAACATACATTTTGTGCACTTCAGTTAAATCCTAATAAAGAAATCTACTGGTGGATCTTAACAGCAGATCCACCAGGTCACATTTAAAAGTAATAAATTAAAATAATTATTACCTAAACATTACGCAAATATGATGTATAAACATACTTGTATGCTTAACCAAGGTACAAATTGTTTTTCACCTAACATATGACGCATTCCTAAAGTTTCCCAGAGGGTTTCAGCTCGTTTGCAAATTAGCAATAAGGTTTTTGATTTATGTTGTCGTACCAGCTGTGATTTAAACGTTTCCCCTCATCATACTGGATTTTAGAAGTTGTTATTGCATGTTCAGCCACATAATGGTTGCAGTTTCACTTAACACATTTTGCGTGTGTGTGTGTGCATGGTGACAGACCATCATCTCAAGGCACAGCAAATGTTTGCTTTTTAAAGCCAAGCACCTCAGGCTGTGCACTTAGGAAAAAAAAAGGACCCAA